AGATTATTTTTTGGATTGACAATGACATCACCAAAACCGATGGTTGTAATTGAGACAAAGCTGTAATGGATAAAATGTGATTTTTGGCAGAACGGACTTTTTTATTACCTGAAATAGATGGCAGTGACGAAAGGAAGTTTATGAAGCCAAAAGCTGAAGAGTACAGCTCCAAACATGGTATGTATCAAAAGCAATGCGATAACCACAACTATGGGCAGTTTGCGCCTTGATTCAGGGTCGACATGCTGTAAGAAATGGAAAGAAATACCATAAAGAGAAATATGGAATGAGAACCTACAATATCAGGTGATATGCTCATCATACAGGTCCAGAAAAACTCCGCAAATAATTGTCCAAAATTTGCAAGGGCCAACAACAGCAATGGAACACCAATTCCCACATAGATTAGGCAGAAAATTTTACTGAAGGCATTTCTAGGTGCCAAATCGCCATAACCTAAAAGTGAAAATAAGTTTCAAAACTATGAACATCTTAGCTCCAAGAAATTTCCATGCGGTTATAGCGCAGTTCCAGTGCCTTCCAGTGCCTTGATAACGCCTTATGCGGACAGGTCAATACTAAGTGCGTCCATGAGGCTCCAGCACGGCGTTGGCACGGCGTTGGCGCGGTGCTGGGACTTCGCTTGCACGGCGATGGAATGCGTTGGCACAGGTAACTCTAGACGCAATCTTGTCTAACCTATAGTTGTCAGTGTTGTGAAGATAAAGAAGCACTTGGTGGTGAAATTATCTTTGTCCATAAAATCATCTATTGCCGAAAACACGAAAGCACCAAGCATGACATAGAGAATCAAGGTCAAACAAATGGCTAGATATGGAAGAGATGCTACAAATATCTAAATTTAAACTCAGTAAGTTTCAGAAATGGAATCAACCGGGTGAAAAACCTCTCTTTTAATGTCGGTTTTGTCGCAGCATCTCTCGTCGAGGAAACGCTTAGTTATTACTTCCACAGGAGACTGTATATGGATGTGGTCGGTAATCATTTTGGTGTGAATTTTTTCCAAAATTTCCACTGTTTGGAACTTGGACCTGAACGTACGATAATAAATGATGTGAATCGAAATATTCGCAATGTAAACAATTCATACCGATGAGGATAACTACTTCCATAATGTATTCTTCACAATATCACAAAACTACCAAAAATTCGAATAGGCGCCCAAAAAATAAACATACACTTGAACCAGAAAAAGTAAAGGAAACCGACAAAGTGTTTGCTGGCGACCAAGAAGACCTTGTCAGTTCTGTATCATGATTACAAAAAACTTACTCAATGCCCATATATTACTTACCCGCTGGTTGATCGATGAGACGTAATGATTGATGGACATCGCACATCTGTAAAGTGACAGAAGAATTTTTTGAAACGGGAACGATGATAAAACTGA